CATACGGTTTTGTAAAATATCTGGAATCAACATTGATTTCAAGTAAAATATTTGTTAATTCATTGGTAGCAGGTTTTGCTGTGGCAAATTCTATTGCCTTTTTTCTATTTGTACTTGTTGATAGAAAACTATTCATTGCTATAAGTTGTCCTACAGTTGTTTTCATACGATTTACTTCATCTATTGCCATTAATTGACCACGATATACATTAAAAGTAGGTGATGGTAATAATTTCATAAATCCTTTGTATTCTTGATGCAGTTGATCATATATATCTTTAATAAAAGGTCCGAATACAAGTACATCATTAATTTGGTGTGTACGTAATGATTTGTTTAATATGCGATATATGATTGACTCTCTTGTATACCAATAAAGTGCTTTACTTCGATGATATTTTGTATCAAATTCAACCATTATACTTCTATCTTTCTCATCATCAGGATGAAAATGTGTATAAACGGTTAATGACTTTTTATTATTTCCCGAACCCTTGTCAATAGAAATTAATTTTTTCATTAATAATTGAAATAGTAAGAATTCATTATTCAGCGTTTTGTGCATACTTTTTGTGTCACTTCCACTATATACACTACAGGCCGTTGCATCACCTTGATTTGTTCGATTACGTAGTGGAGTGTTGGACCGTTTTGTGTTCACTGATGTTCGTTTATTCATTTCTGAAATGACATTAGATTTAATACGATCTTTTGTTTCTTTATCATTTATTTTAACACCATATCTTTGAGATTTTGAATGGAAATTTTGTTTTTTATAATTGGATGTCATGTGTTTTCAATCAACTAAAGTACAATTTACAAACGAAAAATTCCAGAGATTTTGATAGTCAGCCTATAAAAAAGACTGCTTCTCAAATGTTCTACAGTTAGAACACAAACTGAGGAAATAAATAAAGCAGAACACTAAACTCAGTTATAATAAATTCGTTTGTGATGATCGAATATTAACAGGTTCTGATTGTGCGATATAGAACATATCATTGTTTTCACTGATCGTTAATACTCAGCTTCTCCTACTTACCATAAATCCTTTTCTATTAGAATAACAAATTCTCATGTTTCAGCAGCTTTAGACTGTCTACTTTTGTATACCGTGTATACGACTGTACAGAATCTGTCTATCTAGTTAGCAGATTGAGCTCTGCTTGGATTTTATAATTTCAATTTGCTGCTGTAGAAAAAGAACGCTGATGTTGTTTCACAGGAAAGTGCGCCCTGAAAATTTTACTTCTCCTAAATGCTACAAATGGTACAGATCGTTGTGGGTTATCTCAGACCACTGAACTAGTTTAAGTAAAACCAATAGCTATTTCAAAATGGTGTTTTTAGCCGGAACGCTAATATTCAGCTTTAAAACTGAAATATTGAGTTCTTCCTAGATCAAAAATTAATTAAATCGAAACTTTTACGTGGAGAAACGCAGACAGATATATGCCGAATAGATATCTCTTTAAAGATATTTGCAGATCTGTTGTCTCTGAAGAAATCTCGACAGCAGCTTATTGCGAAGAAAACACTTACGGCTATTTGACTAATCATTAATAATCGAAATATGATTGACTTTTTTTGAAATATGATTTTTGAAAAGTCTGGTATCCGAAATATAACTTTACAAATATGTAGAATGACTCTCAACATTAGATCATACTCATGATCTTTCTCTGGTTTAAGTTTCAACTGATTCAGGATCTGTAATATGGTGGACAGGTATGTAGTGTCCTGCGGGAACCCCAGGTCGCCACTCGCGGCGCGATCGCTCTGTCGCGATAGCGATCGCTGTGAACTCGCGAAGTCGCCACGCGATCGCGGTAAAGTCGTATCCTTTCAAGAAACGTATTTTAGAAGACTCGTGACGCGATTTCAAAGTCGCGACGCGATCGCTGTTGATTCGCTATCTCGCGTCGCAATCGCTATAAAGTCTTGTAGTCGCGGCGCGAATCTCTCTGTATCGTCAATCATACACGTGGCCAGAGTATATATGTATGTTTATATCACATGGAGCAATCTATCCTTTTCTAACATTTTTCTTCAAACGAAGAAACATGCTTCTTATAAACGTATATTATATACGGTATATATATTCTCGCGACGTGTATGATTGACGATATCAATGTTTTTTTTCTCAATTTAAACGAGACAAAAAAATAGTGCCGGTTATACGTCACTTTATTTCTTAAAGTAGACTGCTTTTATACTCGAACTTTTGTAACCTCGGTGTAATATCGCGTTGCCGTTAGTGTCTCTCAGGATGTAGCGATGATCAGTTCGGTTCTGTTTGACGCACGGAGGATTGGGGCTTAGCCATTCCGCCTCATTCGCAGAATATTAGATTGGCTCTAATAACGAACTGATCCTAGCGATAATATTTACGGATATACATTCTCTGAAAGGCCAAGCGTGAATGTTTTCTTCACATATGACAAACGTTACCTTACGGTAAAACTTTCTCGAAGAAAAGTCCAAGTAAAATATAGTGCAATCGAAGATAACAAACGATGATTAGAAACCTGTGGAACTAGTACGTACCGGTGCAACATAGCATGCCGTCCGTACTGATAGTTCCGGCCTTTTTTCAGTACTATACTGGGTTTTTTCTGTAGGAGCGTCGGCAGCAATTCAGCAGAATTCTTGTCACTTTCGTGGAAGATCTTATATAAGAATTGAGTAAGGTTATTATAAGACGCTTGGAAGATTCTTATATCAGAACCGATCACTAGGACAGTTAAAAACAAAGATAAAAGCAGAAAACAGCTATTGCGAGCGAATTTATACAAATCGCGACTTTCTCGCGAGTCGAGGGGGAGTCGCGCTTTTTTAATTAGAGCAAGCGAGAGTCGCGCAGCGACAGCAGGACTCGCACCGCGAGAAAGGAAAATCGCGATTGATTAACTGATAAAAAACGCGAGTCGCGTAGCGATTATAGCGAATGTATAGAAAAACTCGCGTTTCATCGCGACTTTATAGCGAATGTATAGAAAAACTCGCGTTTCATCGCGACTTTATAGCGCCAATCATAAAATTATGATTGGGGCTACTTTTGGCTAATCATATAACTGAGTTTTGTTATTTAGAAATAAAAAATTTCATTGTGTTAAATCTTGTTTACAAGATAACGCTCGTCTCCACTCGCCCGGTCCCTTGACTTTAATAACCTGGAGCTGCGCTACTGAACGTCTTTTTGTGACTTTTAAATCGAAGATAATGCTCACGCCTCTCTTCGATCGGCGCTCGCTCGGGGCCTAACTAAGCCATCTTCTTGATGTTTTTCTGTTTTCATGTGTAAAAAAGGTTTTCATTAGATTTTTAACTTTTCTTTCATTGCTAACAGATTCAACATAGACGATTATATATGTCTCTTGCGCTTTCAAGTCACCGAGTGTCAATCATGGAGCTCCTTGGAATCTCATGCAACCTCCGAATCACTGAAAATCAAGGTCTCGCTTAACTCATATTTTGAAGAGGACACTTTGGGCTATTTACTCATGAAAGAAAACAATATATTGCTACCTTGACTTTTCCAGTTATAAAACTAATTTCTTAGAAATTTCTTCGGAGTCTTTTTGGTTATTAAACGATGATTTAAAGTTTTGGCTATCGAATGGTGAAATCGTAAGTTTTTACCACCTTTCGTTAATGAGTGATTCAAAATGTAGTCAGTGGTATTATCTTTTGAAAACGATAATAATTATAATACAGAAAATGTTCTCTATTACCTTTCTTGGCGATAGTTTATATTTATGTTGCTTGGAGTAGATATATAAAATAGAAACATTATTCTCCTTGTACAACCTTGGCTTATGCATGAATGATTACTTGAGAAGATATATTAGCCTCGACGCAAGAATACAAGAAAACAAATAAAATACAACACAATCTTACCAGATATTTTATGATAATTGGTTGTCCTTCTTATCGGCAATATTTGTTTGCTACCATGACTAGCAAATGTCACTTAATTCAATCAGCTAGCAACATGTTCGTGGATATAACCTTGAAACATGTCATTAGAATTAGAAGTAATTACCTTTTAATGTAATTCGATGGATTATATGCATATAATTTACTGCTGTTACAAACTCAGGCTTGTTAATTGACGTACTTGAAGTAATACCAAGAGCACGTGCAAGCATAGGGAAAATATTACGGACTTTTCACGGATTTTTCATTTTAATTTGTCATTGGTAACGTACGACATCGTGGACTTGCACTTCTAGCTATACAATTGCGAGCCGATTTAGCAGAGAGTGTCAAGAAGTTTATCTTATAATAAATATAGTTTAAACCAAATATTACGGACAGGTAAAAAGCTAACATGCTGGTTAACAATGTTAAACCACAAAAAATATAGAAAAAGCATATCGAACAGGAAAAAAGTTAGCACATATAAGCATTAAGAGATACATAATACCTTGAGAGTCAATATACACTACTATTGTTATTATATTATTAGTACTACAGTAAAACCTCTATTAGTGAACACCTCCCATTTTGAACAAGGTCTCGGTCCGACAGAACTATTTTTGCTGGAAATGCACCTCTCTATTCTGAACATGAACACTTCTTTACAGTCCCTCTAGCTACTATAATCTCTCTAATGTGAACACGCGTGCAATGATTTTTTTTATCTCTATCTACTGTCTACCACCGTTCTCTTACGTGTCACGACTGATCATCGGCTTGTCCACATAACGCGACACTCGCTGATCAAGTTTATAAAAAAAAATTTTCGCTTTCGAAACTTTTGAATACATCACTAGATGTAATTTTTAATTCTAAGAACCCGTTTAAAACGCTTTTTTGATAAACATTGGTTTTTGAGTATCAAAACCCGTTCTTGAACATTTCAAAAATCGGATTTTCTATTTTTAGCCGAGAAAGTTTTCGAAAAATAAATTTCTAAACATATGGTTTCGTAGAAAATTTAATTCTCTACAAAATGGCGTATTTGGTTTTGAGCTTCAGCACTTTAGAAAATTTGTACATATTTGTATATTTGCGAGACTTCATCCAAAAAATTTCATTTTTACACCGTAAATGGGGGTCGACGAGCTGCATCGAATGGCGTTTGAATGAGCTTTTTAACTATTTTAGTTTCCGAGATAATTTCATTTTAGTGCGTTCAAAACGTAACGCCGTTACGTTTGGACAAGCCGTCATACTCTCTCACGGACAAAAAAAGTACATTTTTCAATTCGCTCGTTGTCCTCTATATTTTATTATATATTTTCATTTGCATATCCATGGATACAGCATAAGTTAAACTACATATATATCTATGAAGTCCATTTTACTCCCTTGTTGTTTCGAATTTCTTCGGCATATACAAAAAATGGGGTAATTATGGCCAGTCCATGTAATTTGCAAGGAAAAATCAGAGTTTAAATTGTAAGAGTATGAGGATCAGTTGACGATGAGTTATATGGCGGATACGAATTCGGATCAAAACAGGAATAATTATTAACTGAAGAAATAGTAGGATAAAAATATGATTAATTAGTTGAGAATGTTGTTAGAGGAGGAGCAGAAGTAATTGGTGAAGTAAAAAAATTTGAATAGCCTAAAATTTAAATTGTGTTGAGAAGTATTTGTAAATATCGCTGTCGTGGGAGTACTCCATTTCCGTCTGTTACGAAGTTTTCTAACCCCGTTCTACTTATTTTCACTAAAAAATACCACCGATAGATAGCCCGTCGAACGTATTTTCACACGATATGATTCGGCAATAAAAACGTGAGGAACGTTTAGAGAGAGAAATAAAATACCACCTTTTTCGTAACAGACGGAAACTAGAAAATGCGCCGGTTTTTGTGACCTATTATCTATGTCTCCAGATAGATATTTGGAAATATGAGAATACGATTAGAAAGAGCGCAAATTTCTCTACAAACTATGCCAAAAAGGCATACTTAAAACAGACTTCCTTGCTGGGAAAAAAAGCTAGTAAAAGACGTTCCCTAAACCACAACATTTGCCTGGTGGTTGTACAATAGTTATACGATCATTTTTTTGGGCATGAACTGGAGTGCACTGATCGAGACGAACGTACCCCAACGCACAATCGAACACGTACTTTCACATGGTAAAGTCAGATTTGCTCTCTTTCAAACTTCATACTGCCGCAAATAGCCGTTACGTGGCCAGGCCGAACTGAATTTCATGACGGCATCTCCATGTCATTCTATCAAATGCTACATAATTCGAGTAAAACTTTATGTCTTAAAATTTTTCTTTTACTCAAGAGATAGAAAAGTGTCTGAAGAATATGAAAAGTTGAACACTTTTTTAATTGCACAAGTATTACGGGTACCATCTCAATTGGACTGTCAAAAATCAGGCACAAAAATGTGCTAAAATTCAGCAAAACTCATCAGACGACTACAAATTGCTAGAACCAAGCGATCTTGTTCAAGTTTTCACTTCATATAATAGAAAACAATCTCTTATATAACTTCTCTATTTGTATCGGTCTCTGTAAATCGGTGGAATTTAAACTCTGACTTTTCCGTGCAAATTACATGGACTGGCCAGAATTACCCCATGAAAAATAGCTGAGTGACCATAATTACTCCAAGTGACTTTTTTTCGAAAAACACACATTCTCGTAGTTTGTAATTGATTAATTAACAGTAAGTCCAAATAGCATGCAATTCATACAGGTGATAGAGCTTGAAATTCTCTACAAGATGACATAATTTTTTAATTTTTTCTTTGAAATTCCCTGTTGAAACTAAGTTAACTTAAGATTATCGCAGCCATTTTTGCTGTATTGACCATAATTACCCCAACGGTACATGTTGACTGACCATAATTATCCCATTTGGGGTAATTATGGTCAATCGAATAGTGCCCTCTGAAAGTTGATTAGTACTAATTAACGCCAATAAATTTTAAAAAATTTTTACATGACTCGATAGCCACAAATCATCGCTATTTCCCTGTAAAATATCGCTCTCCTGGATAAAAATTGAGCGAACTATAGCAGAAATACGACGAAATTTTCAGGAGCTAACCATAATTATCCCAACGCACTCTTAATTGCAGAAAAGGTCACGATACATCGGACTAGATTGCTTTTGACTATGCCTTTTATCTTTTGAAAATTACTGGATGCCAGTTTTGGTTGTACAGGTGCATATAGAATCGATAGACTATGCCGCTCATCTTACTTTCCGTTCAAAATATGTCAAGTAACCTTTTTACCAAACTTCGTTTCGAACGGAAAGATTTTGTTTTAACGAAATCACCGTGTTCCCACCTGGCTGTGCGTCTAGAATTCGTATACATCGTCCGTTCCAAAATTCAAGGAACATTAAAGCAAATGATTAACTTTTCGGTATCTTTTCTGCATCTTTTATATTAAGGGGTATGGAGGTTTTGAAAAAACTTTTTTGACAATCGTGCAAAGCTGACTCCTCGAAAACATTTTACTTTCCGATAACAAAGCAAAGCTATAATTATTTCAATAATGCTTGGAAATAGGACAAATATTTCTGAACAAATTGAGATATCTCCCAGCTCTGAATGATGTTCTAATCTAGAGTTATGAGAGTTTTCCTGGAAGCCCTAAAACATGCGCCATCGCGCCAGTATGGTACATCATATCTCGAAAGCGACTTTCACCTTAACACCATTTCATAGCTGCAAGATTTCTCAGTAACGAAACATCGCAGATAGGTCGAGAAGGTCTTAAATTGAAGCTGACACATGTAACTAGAGGGTAATAGAGCTCGATTTTTTACATTTGGTGTATATCTGTCATTAGAAAAATGTCTTTATCTAAGTCAATGAGACTTTTTCTATTTTGAACTTTTGACGCTGACCATTAATTTGAAAAGACTCATCGCTGCATCTGTTGCATTAAAAGCGGCTTCAATACTAATACTTCAATGACTATAGCAATTAAAGTTGATGACGCTTTTATTTCTTGAGAGATGTTGGGCGAACAGTACGTTGAACATCCACATCGACTTTTAAATGCGTCATTACCATTGTTTGTTGAACATCAGTAATTCTTGTTAAGTTATTAACACTACTATAACCGTCGTCCATGATACGCACGGTTGACCATTTCAATAATTCAAATCGTTCATTATTAGGCCTGGTTGGGGCATGATATAGTGCTAAAAAACAATATTATCTAGTCCTTATATGTTTATAAAATAACAATCGCAAATTAAATTTTTCATGAGGTAGTTGTTATGTAACTTTTATAGTGCATATGTGCGATTTGCGCTGCCAATCGTGAAAAATCCGTAAAAAATAAACCATCTTGTGAACTTCTTTTTGCTATCGCAGTAGATTCTAATACCCCAAGTGATGATAAAGACCTAATTTTCCCGACTGCCACTTTCATTTTTCTCGGAAAACGTGTTGCCCTTACGAAAAACACAATAATCCCCAAGCCCATTGGGATAAAGAGACAAATGGTTTTGAAATTTTTGTTCTAATACATCATTCGATAGATCTTGATGCGGCCTCTCTAATGATGTGCGATTCAACGCGTTTTATTACCAGCAAACGCTTCTTCTATGCAACTTCTGAGGAAATGTATTATTCCAGAGTGTTCAGCTTTGAAAAAGCAACTACTGTGTGACGAGACCACCAGGCGTACATGGCTAGATTTTTATCGCCAATCTTTATCAAATGGTTTACAATAGACTTAAGTTTAGCAAATTTTTCATGAAGACATGACGGATTTAATTCCACGAGACACTGTGAATTGAAAAAGTCTTGTAAGGCATTTTTATGGTAAAAGTCTTTTTCACAGAACGAACAAAATGTTTTGAGCCGCAGCTTTGGGCATATGCTATGCATCGCAAAAAGACAACAGGATAAAAGAATTCGATAAGAAAAGTTGAGTTAACGAAGATACTACTATCGGTGACAGAAAACAAGGCATCATGTAAAAAGTTTTTCATCAATAACATGCTCTGATCATCGCAATTATTCTTCTCGACTGTTTGTAATTCTATCATTCATTTAATGTAGGAAACAATTTGAATTTTCTCCATACTTTACGACGTGGTTTAGAAAAATGTAGTCAATAATTCACTGTATATTCCGGGATAAGCAAAATTTACTTCTGGACACTCTTGTTTTTCCATAAAATGTCCGCCTGGCTGTTCACTGTGTACCCAGTGCCTATTTAAACCTATTTCATCGTGCTTGGTTATGTGGGCTAGACTCATCAACTTCGGAAAGAATTCCGAATAGTGAACATTATCATTTTTTGTAATATGACGTATACTTACCAACATACGTAGCAACTTCATCACTTGGTCGTATAACACACAAATGTTTTTTAATCAATCTCAATCCTAAATCGTCATCTTCACCACCCCATCCCCAATATAAATTCGAAAAACCATTTATTGTTACATACTGGTCATGTGATAACATAAGTACACCACCAATTAAAAATTCATAGTTTACTAAATATTTTGTTGCGTTCGAGAGTCTAATACGTACTGTTGTATGTTTAATATGTTTTGATTCACATGTGTAATAATTTCCATCATTTTCAGGTATTAAATCTACATCATGTAAAATAAAACAAGTAATTTCCAATTTTGTTTGTTGTTTAATATAGGATATTGCCGTATTATATAAACGACCTTTATTAAATACTGCAATTGGATTTATTTGCTCTATGTAAATAATTATATAAGTTGACAATTGTCGTCTTAAAAATGTATGAATATTAAATAAAAATGTTTTAGCATTAAAATCTCGTCCTTTCAATGGTACAAGTATAGCAATCCGATGTGTCGATGTTACTCCAATTGGTTCCCATAAACCCATGTCGGAATGATATTTATAAGGTATACTATTTACAAAAGGTATATCTGATCCATAATCAGTATGCATTGGTAAACAATAGTTTTTATGTGTTTGTGCATAAAATTGTTCAATATTTTCATATGTAATATTTTCAAACGGTAAAAAATATGAAAATTGTCCTTCTAAATATTTTGAATGTTGCGGATGAAAATTTAATAAATTTTTTTTTGAATAATCATCCAATTTATACTGCTGACATGTTATTGGTGTACGAAGAACATAATCACGATAGGGTATAAGAAGATAATTTTCAGAATTTGCTGATGAATTGAATGGAGGCAATGATGATGATGGTCGTTTAAATGTTACTAGCAGTAGTAGAAGAATAATAATTATTAATAGAAGTAATATTATGGGATACAAACAACGTCGTTTTCTTAAACGAAACTTATTCTTTCGTACGAACATTTATATAAAGGATGTAATTTGAAGTTTAAACACTTGCGATAGAATAATTTGATAGATTCGTTTTTCTTTGCGCCTTCTTTGTACATGATGTTGACAAGACGCCATTGTGTAGAGAGAAAAATTTCGATAATTCAAAATTTTCTTATAAAATATGTTTTTTTTAGAAACAAAGTACTTTCGTTTACTTTGTTTGTAAAGTAAGCATAAAAATCGAAAATTATCGTTTCAGCAATTGAATATTATGTACACATACATCATCCATGAGATGTTTACAAAAGAAAAACGGCCATGCGTCAAACAAACACTTGACATCACATACGCAAACTGCAGACAGGAAGAAAACGGTACATATTGATATAAAGTCTTTCCCTTCTTTCTTATTGTATGCACATAAACAATTAATAATGTTAATACTCTATAAAAAAAAGCACTTCAGACATCATCTATATGAAAAACTCTGCGTAAAAAAAGTATGTTCAATCTTTTCTGGAGTTCACAGTGGTTATAAGTGTTATTTATTCAAGAAAAGAAAAGTTTAAGTAAATGAAAAGAAGAAAAAGCAAGAGGCGAATCCATTGTATGACTTACAAAAAAAGTTACTTTTGATAATCAAATTTATTCATTACAAAATGATCATCGCAAAAATAGACTTTCGATTACCAAATTAATTAGTAGACAGTAGGTATACACCAGTTAAAAACTGGTGTTGGGCATCCGGGAGAGTTGCTATACATCAGTTATCACGATTTCTCAGAGCTGTGATGCTTCTATCTCATTTTGTAGAAAAATGTTTGTACTAATTTGCTAGAACAAACATTTTTCTACAAAATGAGATGTTTCACAGCTCTGAGAAAGGGGGATAACTGATGTATACCAATTCTCCTGGATGCCCCAGCATTAGTGAAAAACTGGTAAATATCTACTATCCATTTCACAGACGAAGGCGAGTGATTGCGAGGTGAGTAACTCGAGAACACCAACAGCTATCGAGGTCGAGTTTTCACCGTTATGTGGCCAACACCGGGACACGTAGCCTTAAGCGAAAACCGAAATTTCTAAGTGGGTCTCTAGGGGATTTTCAGATAGATCTTTGGAAGACCAGCTCGCTCTCAGAAAACTAATACATAATGTTAGTAATTATTTTGCATGCGTACTCTACAAAACTATGCAAGTCACAGTTCTCCAGTTATCATCGTTTGGGCGCTTTCCCCGACACCGGTCCAAACTTTCCCCGTGTCTTTCTCTGAGCAGACATCTCTCAAGCCGAAAAAGTAGTCCAGCAGAACACTGAGGCGTTGAAGTTTTTCAGAAGGTTTGTGGAAGCTTAAACCAATGCCTCTGACGAAGTTATTCTTATTTCTACACGAAACCAAATGTTGCCACTATGCTCAGCGTAGTTGATTACCTATATTCCATGGCATTTTGAGATTCCCAGAGATGTCTACTCGGAGACAGACACGCGCCCGGGGAAAGCGACACCGATCCGAACGACGCTAACTGGAGAGCTGTGACTTGCATAATTTTGTAGAGTACGCATGCAAAAAAATTACTAACATTATGTGTTAGTTTTCTGAGAGTGAGTTGGTTTTCCAAAGATTTATCTGAAAATCCCCTAGAGGCCCACTTGGAAATTCGGTTTTCGTCAAAGACTGTGTGCCCCGGTGTTGGCCACATAACGGTGAAAACTCGACCCCGATAGCTGTTGGTGTTCTCGAGTTATTCACCTCGCAATTACTCGCCTTCTTCTGTGAAATGGATACTATTATCCGTTCCAAAATACAAGAGCATCGGTTGCTGAAATTTTTGAATAACTTTTGATAGGTAATAGATAGAGAGGTG